TATATATATATATACACACACACACACACACACACACACACACACACACACACACACACACACATATATAAAAAAAAGGTTGAGAACCACTGGTATAAAGGGTCCAGTTGACCCCAGCTGCTACAGCCCCCACCAGTTAATGGTTAACTGGAATTGGTAAGCATTACCCATTAAAAGTGATGCTAGCCTGTTAACCTTTCACATCCCAAACTAGCAGTATGGTGAATCAGTGTTGATGGGAAGAATGACCTGTGCCCAGTCCCACTTGATCTTGAGCAGAACCTTGTGCAATAGCTGGATAGGAGGGAAAGTGTAGTACAGATGACCTATCCCTGATGGTAGGAAGGCATTCATGAGCAAGCCCATACTGTGACCTCACAGGGAACAAAACTGGTGATATTTTCTGTGGCATCTGATTGCAAACAGGTCTAACTGAGAAGTCCCACACTGCTGGAAAATGTCCTTTCCAATATCCAGGAAAAGAGAACTTCTGGTGACTGGAAAAAGATCTGCTGAAGTGACTGGCTAACTTGTTTTGTACTCTTAGAAGGTGAGACATCTCAAGGTGGACTGAGGGGGCTATGCAGAACGGGAGCAGCAGAATAGGGGGGCAGAGGGGAAAGAGCGGTCTCTCTCTGCCTACTGAGATGTTGTATGTAAGAATCAACACACTCTTGATCATAAGGTGAGGAAAGAACACTCAAGAGGCTAGGTGAACTGCCCTGAACTCTGATAATGTGTAACAAGAACTCTTCTGTAGATGTGAGAATTCCCAGCTGAGCTCCCTTGTCTAGGGCTAAGGCATCTGAAACCAGAGATAAGGATAGTTGGGCCCATGAAAATGGAACACTGGTGCAGACCACCAGTTGGTTGAGCCACCAATTAAGGGAGGCAAGGACTAAGGAAGATACAATAAGAACTGAGTCTAGATGGTGACATTTTGACAAGTACATTGAGGCCAGCCACACCCAGAGGTGTCTGAGGACTCTTGTATACTGCACTGCATATGTATAGGAGGCCATGTAACTTCAACACCTCAGACAATTTTGGGTAGTAGTCTATTCTTAAAGCTCCTACTTCTTTTCTTCTGTGGGTCTTCATGGGTTGGTGGAGTGGAGTACTTTGAGGACTGTTGAGGTTTGTAGCACTTCCTTCATGTCTCTGGCATAAATAATACCAAGGCTACAAGGGGCGCCCTTGAGACCTTCAGTCCATAAAGCTTCACAGCAGTCTGCCCTGAAAAGAGTGAAGCTTCCTTGAAGGGAAGATCCTGGAGGGATTGCTGAACTCTTACACATGTTCACTGGAAGCCATGGCTCTGGCTGCTGGATCTGCTGTATACAGGGCAGCTTGCACAGGAGCCCTTGATATGGTTTTTGCCTCATCCATGGGTGAGAAAACTCCCGGTTCACCTCTTTTGATACCAAGTCTGAACTCAACATGGCGTCCCACATTAAAATCATATCAGTTGAGCAGAACCTGCTGGTTAGCGATTTTAACCTGCAGACCCTGGAAAAAACCTTTCCACTGAATAAGTCTAGCTTTTTGCAGTCCTTTGTTGTAGGTCTCAACTGTCAGGCCCTGCCTTTCTCGGTCAATGGAAATCACTTGATGCCAGTCGCCCTTCTCTGGGTAGCAGGGAAAGTCTTTTAGGCTGTTGGTAAAGATGCATCAGGCAGACTGCTTGTGTCTGTATCTGATAAAGCAGAAAGCTATCAGAAGGATCCTTGTGATTCAGCATGATCACACTGTTGCTCTGAGGAGTAATTAGAATACAGATTGTGTTATAAAGAAAATATGATGAATGATTAAAAGTTTGTACTATTACAAGCTTTGTTTTAGAAGTGTATTGAGGACTGATATCTTACTAAGGCAATTGTATCCCTTTTCCTATGTAAAACTATTATGTAGTTCCTGGGGAGGGGGAGTGAATGAGTGTGGAATGTGAGTGTTTGGAAAGAGATAACTTGAAGGCTCAGCAGTTTCAGAGTCCAGATGGTCAAAGGGGGGAGGGGAGGAATAAGAAGCTGGAAGACTCAGGGGCACCAAGATACCATCAACTGAGCCCAATATAAGACAGACCTGTGCAGGACATATTAGCAGCCTCAGAGTTAAGAGCAAGCACCCCTTTACAGATAAACACTGGGAAAGAGGCACTAACACACTGAGGTCAGATGACGAAGAAAAACAACTTCCAGATAAACAGATGTTAAACAGAATTGATTGTGATTAAAAGCTGACAAAGCAAAATGTATAAACCTGAATGGGAGAAAAGTCCTGTATAAAAGATGGGGTGTCTTGCATGAATCTTTGGATATGCATATAATAGAATAATGTTACATTGTCAATAAATGTGGCTTTTTGCCTTATCCTCCTGAAAAAGATCCTGTGAAATTCTTTCAAGTATAACATGTTGCCTGTTCGTAGAATCAGAAGGTCATCAAGTCCAGCCCCCCGCTCTAGGCAGGACCAATCCCAACTAAATCAACACAGCCAGGGCTTTGTCAAACCGAGACTTAAAAACCTGTAGGGATGGAGATTCCACCACCTCCCTAGGTAACCCATTCCAGTGCTTTACCACCCTCCTACTGAAATAGTTTTTCCTAATATCCAACCTAGACTCTCCCACTGTAACTTGAAACCACTGCTCCTTGCTCTGCTATCCGTCACTACTGTGAACAGCCTTTCTCCAGCCTCTTTGGAACCTCCCTTCAGGAAGTTGAAGGCTGCTATCAAATCCACCCTCACTGTTCTCTTCTGTAGACTAAACAAACCCAAATCCCTCAGCCTCTCCTCATAGGTCATCTGATCCAGCCACCTAATAATTTTGGTCGCCCTCCACTGGACTCTCTCCAGTGTGTCCACATCCTTCTTGAAGTTGGGGGCCTAGAACTAGACACAATACTCCAGATGTGGCCTTGCCAGAGCCGAATAAAGGGGAATAATCACTTCCCTGGATCTGCTGGCAATGCTCCTCTTAATGCAACCTAATATGCCATTAGCCTTCTTGGCTACAAGGGCACACTGTTGGGGCAGCAAAGCCATTCTCTAGGGGGCCACATAATAGGAGTGTTTTGAGTAGGGCCCTAGGATTGGGAGAAACACCCAGTCCCAAAAAGGCACTGCATTGGCAAAGGACCCCACTGACCACTAGGGCATGGTACTCCTGTGTCTGAATCCAAGGCTAGGTAAGGTTAACGGGATGAGTGGTGGGTCAACTACTTGGATGAGAAGAATAAAACCACACATCCAATTTGAAGGTCAATCTGGACACCAAAGAGGAGCAGTTCCAAGCAATAGTGGAAATTGGTGCCAAGTCAGGGAAGGCTGCATTGGGGTCAGCATGGTTGGTTTCTTCTTAAACAGTGTCGCAAGGACTGATACCAGACAGTAACTAGTCATCATGTGCTCTCTCCTGCCCACCAGCAGCACTGACTCCAGTACTGCCAACAATAGTAGGTTATTGGCATCAACAAATGCCTTCAAAATAGTGCCATAACAGCAAAGATACCACACTGTCCCTCAGATGCCGATGGCTCATCCCAAATCATGATATTGACTGCTGCAATGCTGAGGCAGAGAAATCACTTGACTTAAGTCATACTTTCTTCTGTTCCTTATGCCTGGCTTTCTTTGAAGTTGGGGAACATTCCCTCTCATTCAGCTGCTTTGTATGCCTTTTTCTCAGTGCCAGCGATGGTGAATGGTGCTGGCAGTCTCTCGTGGTGGGAGGAGCACTCCTAACCAATGATGAGGTGCTCAGGGCTGGGTTCAACTGGATCAACTAGAAGGAAGGTCTCAGTGCTGCCTCCATAATCAAGAACTTTAATCTGGCCTCCTGGTCTTTTCTCATACGGCATTTAATGTTCCTGCAAATCTGACGATCTCTGACTTGAATTTCACCCAAGCACATCAAACAACTACGCTACAGGTAACTCAGAACAGAGCTTTGTTTCAGGAGGCACAAAGCTTGAAGCCCAGTGATTGGGCTTGGCACTGTGCATGGAAAATACTCTGCTAATGGAAAGAGAAAAATACACTATACTAACAAAGACTAATTAACTATTTACAACTATTATACAGAACTATCAGAAAAATAAGGATCACTAAGAAAGCTTGTTGTAGCAAAGAGAACAGTTCCAGAGACCATCATAAGTGGTAAGAAGGTACTGAAGGGCCAACTGGGCAAGTTTATACTCTTTATACTAGTGCTACCAGAAATCACCTTCCTGACAGGTACCACTGACAGAAGAATTTCCAGTGACTGTGTTAGAGGTGCACACACCCCTATGGTGGAATGTGTGAAAGTGCTCGAAAAAGAAACTGAATTTTGGCCAATAATGACCTCAGAGGGGTAGCCATGTTAGTCTGTGACTTTAAAAATAACTTTTAAACAACAAGTAGTCCTGTTGCACCTTAGAGACTAACAAAAACATATGACCAGTAATTATGGCATACAATCTCATTTCTTCAATAATCTTCCAAAAGTTTTCATTTTGTATATCTAATAATTAATGGTATATGCAGAACTTATTTACACAACTCCTATCAATGTTTATAAAATTATGATTGGAGCCAATTGGTGGCACCAAAGTAGCCTATGTATTTTTAAATTCTCTCAATGGTACCATTTATAAGCTTACACCCATATATTTTTATGTTAATTAATTTTGGTGTTGTATGTCCCTTGCATAATTGCATTATAATATTCTGAAGTCAGAACAGTTACTCCACTACTATTAGAAAAATGTTTTACAGAGCAGTAAGAGAGTATCAGGAAACACTATACATTGTATTTGAAAGTATTTCCACCAATATTGAGATAAAGCATATTTTCTTGAATTTGGGTGACAGTCGTGTCCTTTTTCCAAATTTGTCTCATTTGCATAAGAGGAAAGGTTGTTTGGACATACCGAAGAACTCCTCAAGACGAGGAGCTGAGGATGTTCAACATGACACTCAATATGCCTGCCCACTCTGAGGGACAAAGAATAAAGAATGGACATTTGGAAATTTATTCTTTTTTGTGCTGCCATTCTTCCTACCATTTTGCATTCAACTGTTTTCAGAACCAAACAGAAAGACAGTTTGGCATAAGTAACTGATGCCATATATGTGATTATATATTGCTTCTGAGTTTCATTTAAAAATGAGGATATCAAGAGACTTAGAACCAGATCTTCTATTGGTGTAAATCACTGAAGCACCACACTGATTTATATCAGGGAAGATTTAACAATTCAGTTTATGGTTCCTGAATATTTATGTTACTGTGATTCTTTGCTTCATTCTCTATTCTATCATGTTGTATTTTTATTGAAGATTATCTTAAAGAGCTCTATTCTTATTTACCATTGTATCTTAAACAGTGATATTTTCTGTTGTGCTAATTCTCATACACCTCTAAATGAATGGATGCTTGTTTTTGTTTAAACTATTAAAGAAGCCTACTTGGGTCAGGTTGAACAATAAAGAATTTAGGCTCAGACTGGTACCAAAATGCCAGTACCATGACTTTGCCTGTTTTATTGTCTAAATTAAACTGTGTAACTTTCAGGTCACTGCAATTGGATAGGGTCAACATCACAAATTGGCATTAACTGGCACATGATTGGCAGTCTCAGAAAAGGCACTGAGGGCTGACTGGACAACCCTCTCATACCATATGGTCCCTCAGAAATAAGATTGAGGCACACTGGTAGGACAGTGTGGTAAAATTCACACTGCCACTGCCTGTGCTGTACCTGTTCTGTGGACAAATAGAGGCCTTCAGTTTCCAGTGCTGTCAATCTGGCACCTTTCACGAGCACTACATTCACTTTAAAGAAAAAAAACTACAGTTAAAAAATACAAAGGAAATTAAAACAAAAATCTGAATTTAAGTAACTCTGGTTGTGACATAAATTGATAAAAATAACGTATTTCTAAAAGGCAGCTAATGTTTTGCCATTGAGACTTCACTTCAAATTAGACTTTCAAACGAACAAGTGCGTCACAACCCTAAAGTTACTTAAAATGGAACAAAGGCCACCAAGGAGGCAAGATCCCAAATTTCACATCTTTGAAGCTGCACAGTTTCATTCTGAATACATCTAGGATATGTACATTTTAACATGGATAATGTCTGTTCTGAATTCAACTGCATTTTAGAAAGCTACTTAAGTATAGACCCCATATCAAGTTTGTGCTCAATGACCTCAGGATACATAGCTGAAAATTCAAAGAACTCTATGTCTTGCTCGTAATCAAAAAAGAAAATACCTGTAATTGACCATTTAATGAGCTCAAGTCTTCTGCTTTCTTTTCCAATGACTGGACCCACACTTTTCTTTTTTGTCGACATCTTGAAGCAGCAGCACGGTTTCGCTCTAGAAACTTCCTTCTTTTCTCATCGGGGTCTTCATTTGCTGCTCTTCTTCGACGACCTCCTGTATTTTGGGTTTGCGGTGTGGGCTGAGCTGGAGAAGCCTGAAGGAAACAAGGGCATCGTAGTTCAATATAATACAACATGTAATTCAAATAAGAATTTGACTTGCATGTATAATATACATATATTTACATAGGAAAGCATCAACAATATTTCTCCACTAATCTCTAAAACACTAGGTTTGAATAAGATTAAATATACATCTTAATTCTATGAACACTATCTAATGGTTTTCATTGTGTTTTTCACTCAATACTGCATTACAAGTAATGTTCTGCCAGTATTTTAACTGTGACCCACTGTAGTTTCCAGATTTGTAATCTTGCTGCAAAAATCCACTCCATTCTGACACCTGATATACAAATAAACCTAAGAAAAATAATTTTAGAATTTTTTGAAACTTTCTTCTGCCCATTTTGAAATGTTAAGATGACAAAATATTTACAGGTTTCAACTTAAAAAAACCCTCCAAATAAAAATGTCTTTTTAAAATAAAATGTAGCAAGTAAGTAACTCTACAAAGTTCCTGTTCCTGAAGTTTTCCAAACACCTATCATTCTAAAACTTAACTATGCTCTGGTGGTTCTGTATATTTGCCAAGTATATAATAAACACCCATCAAAAGGATCTGGACAAATCATTGGTATTTACTGATCCCTAGAAGAGTAATTTCTTACCTGTTACTTCCAATCTTTTCCAAGTCCCTCTATGCAAGCCCAGACATGGATAGGATCAAAGTAGTTAGAAATGAAAATATCCTATTAGATTACACAGTCTACCTTCTATATGGGCAGAATATAATCCCCTCAAAAAGGACAATTTCATTACAGCTATACAGCCTACAACTTCAAGTATCATCAGCTCAGGATAAAATTGCACCTTGAATTAACTCTCCTCATAAAGGGACCCGGTTGACTTTGCATGCTCAACACTTGGTTATGCAATAAATAACTAGAGCCCTGCACAGATACAAATTGTATATCCACATCTATAGCCACAAAAATGAGCCATAGATATAAAGTGGATATATGCAAATTTGCAGAGTTCTAGATACAAAATGTGTATTTGCATCTGCATCCATATATACAAAAATGAGCCATAGATGCAGACACCTGAGGAGATAAAACAGATATCCATGGATTCTCAAAGCTGTATAAATAATATAGAATAAACCGTTAGATTAAAGTAAAAATCAAAGTACCAATCCAAACTTCAACAGCTGATAGTACAAAATCTAGAATGGTATAAACGGACTTTGAGAAGTTAAATTAATAGTTAAGACTTGACCATTTGCAAGTATTTCTAACTGACTAGACACTAAGAATTTTTATACTAGTACTTCTTAACCAGATTATACACAGGGTATTCATACTCAAAAGAAAAATTCCAACTAACTTAAACAGCATTTACCCTTTCAGGGCAGCATCTGCAGAGATTGTCACATCAAGATTAATAACATAAAAAGTACAGAAGAACACTGAGATGCCAACATTGCAGAGTCTCAATCCAATACAAATATATAAGAAGCAAGAGGAAGACCAAGGACAGGATAGGCCCATTGCTCAGTGAAGAGGAAGAAACAACAACAGGAAAATTGCGAATGGCAGAGATACTTAATGACTTCTTTGCTTTGACTTCTGTCAAAAAGATTGATGGTGATGGGATGCCTAACAATGAATACTAGTGAAATGTGGTAGGTTTAGAAGTTCAAATAAAAAAAAGCACAAGTTAAAAATTACTTAGAAAAGTTAGATGTCTTCAAATCACCAGGGCTTGATAAAATGCATCCTAGAATACTCAAATAGCTGATAAAGGAGCTATCTGAGACTTTAGCTATCACCTTTGAAAAGTCACAGAAGTTGAGAGAGATACCAGAAGACTGGAAAAGGGCAACTATAGTGCCTATCTATAAAAAGGGTAATAAGAACAACCCAGAAAACTACAAACCACTGGACTTAACTTCTGCACCAGGGAAGATAATGGAGCAAGTAATTAAGGAATCCATCTGCAAACATCTGAAAGTTAATAAGGTGTTAGGTGACAGCCAGCATGGATTTGTAAAGGATAGGATATGAAACCTTGTGGATAAGGGAGAAGCACACTAGACGTGGTATACCTAGACTTTAGTAAGGCATTTGAAACAGTCTCACATGACCTTCTTATCAATAAAGTAGAGAAATGCAACCTAGATGGGGCTGCAACCCAAGGTGGGTGCATAACTGGCTGGATAACCATTCTCAGAGAGAGCAGTTATTAACGGTTCACAGTCATACTGGAAGGGCATAACAAGTGGGGTTCCACAGGAGTCTGTTCAATAACTTCATCAACCATTTAGATGATGGCATAGAGAGTATGATTATTAAGTTTGTAGATACCACCAAGTTGGGAGGGATTGCAAATGCTTTAGAGGATAAGGTTCTAATTCAAAATGATCTGAACAAACTAGAGAAATGGTCTGAGGTAAATAGGACAAATGCAAAGTACTCCACTTAGGAAGGACTAATCTGTCTCATACATACAGACTGGGTAGTGATTGTCTAGGAATGAGTACTGCAGAAAGGGATCTAGGAGTGGTAGTGCTAAATATGAGTCAACAGTGTGACACTTACGAAAAAGCAAACATGATTCTGAGCTGCATTAACAGGAGTGCTATGAACAAGGCACAAGAAGACATTCTTCTGCTCTACTCTGCACTGATTAGGCCTCAGTTGGAGTATTCTGTCCAGTTCTGGGCACCACATTTAAAGAAAGATGTGGAAAAAATGGAGAAGGTCCTGAAAAGATTAACAAAAACAACTGAAGGCCTAGAAAACATGAACTATGAGGGAAGACGGAAAGAACTGGGCTTGTTTAGTTTAGAAAAGAGAAGACAGAGGGACATGATAGTGGTTTTCAAGTATCTGAAAGGGTGTTACAAGGAGGAGGGAGAAAAAATGGTTACGTACCCTCGTAAGTGTTGTTCTTCAAGATGTGTTGCTCATGTCCATCCCATGTAGGTGTGGTCATGCTGCATGAACGCACAGTCAAAAGTTTTTTTCCCTGAGCAATACTCATTGGGCCAGCAGAGGAGTCCCTTGGAGTGGCACCACTTTATATTGGCTAATATATATCCCTGCTGGTCCTTCAGCCTCTCGGTTCCTTCTTACTGGACCACTCTGAAAAAAGGGAGGTGAGAGACATTTGGAATGGACATGAGCAACATATCTCGAAAAACAACAGTTACAAAGGTAAGTAACCGTTTTCCCTTTGAGTGATTGTTCACGTCCATTCCATGTATGTGACTTCAAAGCAGAAACCCCAGGAAGTGGGGTCAGAGTTCTAACCTTCTACCGAGTGGAGGACAGCCCTACCAAGAGCTGCATCCTCACTAGTATGGTGAGCCATAGCAAAATAGTTGGTAAAGGCGTGAAGACCATGTGGCAGCACTACAGGTGTCCAAAATAGGGACCTGAGCCACAAAGGCTGTAGAGGAGGCCTGCATACTAGTGAAGTGAGCCATAAGAGGAGGGTCTGGAACTGCAGCCAGACTATAACACTCCCTGATGTATGAGGTTATCCATGAAGAAATCTTCTGTGCAAAGACTGGCTGGCCCTTGAGCCTCTACACAATTGCTACAAACAACTGAGGTAACTTACGGAAGGCCTTCGTCATGTTTAAAGAAAAGGCCAATGTTGTCCTAACATCTAGTGTGTGTAAAGCCTGTTCTTTACCGGAACCGTGAGGCTTGGGATAAAAAGAAAAAGAGGAAAAAATGTCCTGAGACATGAAACTTCCTTGGGCAGGAAGGCAGGGCGGAGGCACAGCCTGACTTTATCTTTGAAAAAGACTGACTAAGGGAGGGGGAGGGTCTGAAGCGAGGGCTCTTAACTCTGAGACACATCTGGCTGACGTGATAGCCACCAGGGATACCCTCTAAGACAGCTGCAGCAGCAAACATGTTGCCATAGATTTGAAGGTCAGGACCAAATTAAGGTCCCACTGAGGGACAGATTGACAAACACGTGGGTAGAGCCGGTCCAGCTCTTTCAGAAACCAATGGACCATGGGGTGTGCAAAGAGCATCATGCCCCGGAGCCTGGATGAAATGCAGAAATAGCTGCCAGGTGAACCCTGACTGATTAAAAGGACAACCCTTGGAGCCTAAGATCTAGGATATAGTCCAGGACCAGCAGGACCTGGGCACCCACAGGAAAGATCCTTTTCTGGGTAACCCAGACAGAGAAATACTTCCATTTAGCCTGATAGGTAGCCATAGTGGAAGGTTTCCTACTCCCCAGGAGTACCTTCTGCATCCACTCTGAGCATGGCAGCTTCACCACTATCAACCATGGAGCTTCCAGGCCACTAGGGGTAAGGACTACAGGTTTGGTTGGCGAGCCTGCCAAAGTCTCACATTATGACATTCAGATACAGTGGGAGGGTGATTGGTCACTTGCAAGAGAGGCTAGATCAGAAAGTTAACCAGAGCTGTCTGGCCAGGCTGGCGCAATGAGAACAAAGAAAGCCCTGAATGCCCGCACCTTCAGGAGCACCTTGTGCACCAGTGGAAACGGAGGAAACATGTAAAGCAGTCCATTGGACCAGGGGGTGATGAGGGCATCTCCCAGGTACCTGCGACCAGGCCCCATGGCATGTTGCAAACAGGCCTGGGATGGGAAAATACCACCTTCAGAAGATGTGGAGGGCCAAATACCTCAACAGACCACTGGCTGAGAAGGACCGCCATCATGTTGTCAGACAGGATGAGAATCGTCCTGCCCCAGAGGTGGGATAGGAAGGCCTGACACATGAGATGATTCCCTATGTCACCTGGAAGGCTGTCTGAGAGACCACTCTGCCCTCCTCAGAGAGGGACTTAACTCAATATTGTGGAACAAGCTCAATGAACTTGTCCATTGCTATGTATTATAAGCATAGCAACTCAGCAGTATCTACTGATTCACTAACTGAAGCTGCAGACCCCCAGAGGCAGGGTCCAGCATCTTGGTTCTGGTGGTAAGCCCAGAGGGTTCAGAAGGGCCACTGACCAGGGGCCTGCCA